AAAATTGCAACTTCCCCTCCACCATGCTCCAGACTCCAGCTTAAAGCCCCTGCCCCAGGCTGTCCTTCCTGTCCAGCCCCCCAACACCCAGCAAGTTACTTCTTACTGTGCATCATAATCCAAGTTTCATTAAGGCAAAAAAATCCCTCTTTTCGCGGATGGACTGCCAGGAGCTGGCATAGCCTGTTAGGAACAGGCGCTAAGTAAATCAGGAACGCGTAAGTGGGGCGTGCAGAGCTGACCTGCAGAAGGTCACTTCCCTGGAATGCAATTATTGGGGCTCAGGGAGGGAGGTTTTTCTAGCTTCCTTTACTTGTTGCCAAATCCCTTTATATTCTCACTACTGAGCTTGAAAGAGACCCTCCCTCTCCCTCCTTGTGCATTTTCATTATAGAAGTCCCAGGAGGAGAGCAGAGCCCCGCCCTCGGCTTGGTCCCCTCACCCCCACCCCGAACACAGGGGGTCTCATGGAAGGCCCACAGGCTCTCCCCCATTCTCAGGCGTCTCTTTCTGCCCCCAGACCCTCCTCTCTGCCCCCAGCAGCTGGCCTGCCACCAAGCAGGTGCCGGGTTTGGGGCTGAGGATGGAGAAGCCGCCTGCTGGGTTCGGGACCCCAACCCCCCCAGCCATCAGGGAGTGAGCAGCCATTTGGGGCTTCTGCCTAGGTCTCCCGTGATCATGCACACTGCCACTCTCCCGGGGCCCCATCTTGTGGAGCTCACCTGCGGGGGTCCATGAGCTCACGGCTGCAGGTCGAGCAGGTGCTTCGGGGGCCCCAGAACTCGCGGCTACAGGTTGGGCAGTGCAGGCGTCCCCGAGGGTTCGCTGCACCTGGGCCTCGTACTTTCTGAGCCCTAGTTAACCCTGTCCTACAGGGCTTCCCAATCCCCATTGCTCAGGACTGTCAGGCTCAGACCCACGTGGAGGGAGGGACCCCAGTTGAATCAAGAGCCCAGACCTAACCATTCTTGCTCAGTTAGTGAAGCTGCAGTCTTCTATCCTGCGGTCATCAAGATACACACCTGGCTTGAGGGGCCCCAGATGGGGGGGTGGGGGTGGGGGAAGTGCTCATCTGGTGGAATCTCCCCACAGTGGGGAAGAAGGCAGTCTGCAGGGAGGGGCCTGGGCGGGGGGCTGCATCAAACAACCATGAACGGGGTGGCTTCACACTATAGAAATGTGTTCTGTCTCAGTCTGGAGGCTGGAAATCCCAAACCAAGGTCGGCAGGGCTGTGCTCCCTCTGGAACCTGCAGGGAAGACTTGTGCCTTGCCTCCCCTGCTTCTGGAGCTGACCTGCGGTCCTTGGCATTCCTTGGCTTGTGGCTCCCTCTCCCCCATCCCTGCCCCTCCGGTCACTTGGCACTCTTCTCCCTGCGCACCTGTCTTCTAAGAAGGACTCTCATTAACATAGGAGTCAGAGTCCCCCGCTCCAGTAGGGGCTCATCTCCACTTAGCCAATTATGTCTGCAATGACCCTACTTCCAAATAAGGTCAAATTCACTGGGGGTTAGGACTCGGACCTGGACTCGGACCTATCTTTTGGGGAACCCGGTTCAATCCCGGAACAGGGGGGAATGGAGACTGGTGACTCGCAGAGGGACTGGGCCACTGTGGGCAATGGGAGCCATGCGGGAAAGGGGCAGCCGGGAGGCAGCCGGGGCTGTGGGCTCACATGAAGACACTGGTGTCTCCTGGCTCTGGGCACTGAGAGAGTCTGGGGCAGCGACACCCCACCGTGGCAAGCACATCTACGGTTTGACCCTAGAACGGCTCTCCACCAAGAACAACCTGGGCTTGGGGGAGAAACAGCCGCTCCAGGGCTGTATCTGGGAAAGAACAGGATGAGCCTGGAACATTCCTTCCGCCACAAAGCCAGGATGTGCTCCCTGCATGCGGGGGACACAGCAGAACACAAAGGCCAGCTCTAAGGGCTCCGAGCACCAAGTCTGGGATAACGTGAACATCAAAGCAGGTCTAGGCCTACTGACCCATGTGGACACCCACTGGCTGGTAAGCAGGACTAGAGCAACGCAGACCAGGAGGAGGAAGCGTGCTTTGGGCTCCTTCAGCTCTGGAGCAGAGAGCAGCTCTGAGTGCAAGCTCCCTCCCTGGGCACTCTGGCCACATCACCACTCGGGCAGCTCTTGTGTGGCCTTGGCTGGGAAATGATAGAACCGGGTCTACCAGGAAGGTCGTGGGGCTCCCTTGAGGTTGTGGAGCACGTGGTGGGTCTTGGGAACTTACCTCCCACCTCACTCCCTGTCCACACTGCCTCTTGGATGCATCCAGGCTTTGCCATCTGCACATTTTGGATTCGGTGCGTTTCCCGTGCACCCTCCCAAACCCAACCCTCTTCTCCCAAGCCTCCTGGCCAGTCCTCAAACTTGCAGGTGCGCCTGGGAGCCGCCTCACGATGGCCACATGCCCCCTAACAGGGCTTTTACAAACGCATTATCTTTAATGAAATTCTTATTTCTTTGGGTAACACACACAGTCCACCTTCCTTGTAGAGGCTTAGAAACCCTCGAAAGGGACAGAGGAAGGCCATTCTAGCCGTCCTGCGTCTCCCGGGGCCCGGGGCCCAGAGCCCCGAGAAGCGCCTCCTGGAGGTGTTTCCACGAAGGGCACAGGCCCACCCAGCAACTCCCGGGACAACTGCCAGGGCGAGTACCAGTATGGTCTCAGCGGGAAGATGCTGAGCGCAAGCCTGGGACTGCCCAGTGGGTGGGGCCACCGGAACATCTGGGGCAGGAGCCAGCCTCTACCCACCGCTGCCGGCAAAACCCCTCCCTCCCCCAGACTGACAACCAGAAAGGTCTCCAGACATGGCCAAATGTCCCCTGGCAGGGATGGCTGCTCCCGGCTGGGGCATTCTGGTCCCCCTTATGTGCGGTTTCACTCTGCCCAGCCCCCATCCCCTGCGGTGGGCGGCGGCCCTGGCCTCACTTCCTCGGGTCACCCGGGCAGGTCATGCCGTCGAGTCCTCACAAGAAGGGCCCGTCCGGACGACAGGCTCTGGGAGAGCGCGCCGGTCCGGCGGTGTGCCTTCGGACATACTCAGCATCCGCCCCGTCCTTCCCTTTTGTTCTTAGTGATCCGGCCTAATCGTCAAACTTCCCCAAAGGTGCGGACACACAGGAAAAAACACCGTATATGCGGGTTCAGCTCAATCCGCGCGCCCGGGGGTCCCCGGAGGCTCTGGAGCGCGTGCCCGAGCGGAAGCGCTCCCGCCCTGAAGGCTAAGGTTTCGTCGGGGGAAGCGGGCAGGAGCGGGAGGGACACGGTTCAGCCCGCGCCAGGCGCCACGGTTTTAGGGCCTGGAACCTTCGCGCTGAGGTCTAACCTGGTTGAAATGGAGTCCCTTGCGGTTCAGGCCGCCCCTTCTTCGCAGAGGCCTGCTGGAACTCTCCTTGGTTGTCACCCCCAAGCTCTCCTCCCCGGCGGTCCTGCTTTCCGCCGGCTTCCGGGGCCATGCGGCCGGCCACCACGGCGCTAGCTCTGTCCACTTCCTCCTCGTTGGCAAGATTTTGCTAAGGATAATTGGGACCTTCAGTGGCCTCTTGAGGAAACGGAAGACCTCCCCAGACTGGTTCCTCCAAGACCTCTCTGTTCCCCTGCTTGCTTTTACCACCGCCAGCCTCCCTGCCTGTCCTTGAGTGTCCTTCAAACCCCAACCTCCTCCCTCCCTCCCTCCTTCCACTCCACCCTCAGCCCCTGCCCCCACTCAAACCCGAGGAGGCTGCCTGCCACCACTGGGGGCTCTCAGGGACGCGGGGACCCTAACTGCAACCAGTGAGGCTGGGAGGCTAGTTGGAAACACTGTTATTTCTATCCACTCAGGTGAGTTTCCACCCAGATGGCTGCTTGGCCACTCCGCAGCACCCCAACCAAAACTTAGTCCGCAGCCCATAAGACTACACATCCTGGCAAGAGAGAATCTTGAGGTGTCTTCCATAAACCTTGATGGGAAGCATTCCCCGGCATGTAGGGCAGGTGGTCGCAAATGGTCTCATCTGCAGAAACACAATTCAGATAAAATTAGAAAGCAGGGCAAAGGGGAGAAGCAACTCTTTTATATAAACCAGAGAATTTTGTATTACTGTGTTTCTGCCTGGTTCGAGGCTAGAATTCTGGAAGAAAGCTCTACCGTATCTATTTGTACCTTTCTGGATATGTGTGTCTACACTATTCTATGTATATATGACATTCTCCTACCTCTGGATAATGTTATCAAATTGATTTATAAAATCCCGCGGAGAAGACTGTTCTATTCTAATTTGCTTACACATAAATAAGTGCTCACAGAAACAAAATATCCCTAACACTCTTATAAATAGAGAAACTAGCCAAATACTGTTCCAGTTTATGTGATTTGGGCAAGTGTTCGGGAAGTAAGACTAGTTTAATATTGTGAGTTTAATCAAAACAGCCGTGTCTCCTGCGTTGTCAGCCTTCAGTCTAACATGAGCACACATCTTTATTCTATTTGAGTTTGCCAGTCACACAAGCTACCGTTATGTCCACTGGATGTCTAAGATTATAAAAATTATAAATTCACCCTAAGAGCAAGTGTACAAGGGGAAGATGCCATAAAAATGAGCTGCTCAACATGTGTATCAAGTGCAGCAGAAAAATGGGGAAAAAAAGTATTTAACATTCAAAACAATTTTTTTCTGCTTTTGTGATTTTTGAGGGGTACTTTTTGGGGAGAATGCAGGGAGGATAGGACAGGCTTATGGAACTGGGGACTGGGGGCCAGGAGGGGAAGAGAGACAGACAGAGAAGTCTCAGCTTTACAGCTGGGGAGGGGCCCATGACCTCAGAGAGACCTCTGAAGGTGAAACCAGAAACGGGGTGGGGGGTGTGCAGGGGGGCACCTAGCTTCCTCCTGGAGTTTCCCCAAAGCCGCTGCTGGTTGGCTAGGTGAGGCCCCCTCCTGGCCTGGGACTCAGGATCCCGCCTGGGGTCTGATAGCTACTCCGGAAGAAGGTGGAGACAAGAGAGCCCAGCCCCAACTTCCTCCTGCTGGGGCACAGGATACTGGGGGACAACTTCCTTGGCCGGGGGGGTAAGTGCTGTGGTACCAGCTCACCGAAGGGGACCTGAGGCCAGTGGGTGAGTGAGGCGGGAGGGAGCCAGGCTGGCCAGGGCTCAGCCCTGGAGGGCCAGGGTCTGGGGAGGGGAGGCGGGAGCCTGAGTCTGGGGCACCCCACAGGGGCCCACCCACATTGCCTCGTGTCCCCCCCAGGAACCATGAGAGGCATCCATCTCCTCCTGCTGGCCCTCCTGCTGCGCTCGGAGCTCGGTGAGCCATGGGGCACAGGGCCGGGGCCTGTGCTGGGGGGCATGGCTGGCAAGCCGCTGTGAGAGGCCCTGTGTGGGCTTGTGAGGGGTCTGTCCTCCACGATCCCTGAGGGTGGGGAGGAGCCCTCGAGCTGTGGTTCTGCCTGAAGGGGTCTAACTGCATCCTTCCTGCCGACCGGCCGGGCCAGCCCTGAGCCTTAGGTGCTACTTCTGCGTTGATATGAACAACAGTCCATGCCAGCCCTTCCAGTGTCAGATACACAATGTCTGCTACACCGGTAATCTGACTTTGACCACGGAGGATGGTGAGTCCCCAGCACCCAGGGGGGTGTCCAGGGAGCTCTGCTCCGAGGCTCCCCCAGCCTCTCAGAGGAGCGTGGGTTTGGCAGGGGCCACTCTCCAGCCTGCCTCAGTGTCCCCATCCTCCAGAGGCCTCCTCCTGGACGGGGCCGGATGGGACTCCAGCAGAGGGACGGAGGGCCAAGTGCCCCCAGGGAGCATGTGGCCCGAGGAGGCTGCGAGAGGCGGGGTGACCTCTCACGCCAGGCTTCTCCGTTCTTGCCCATAGGAACCCAGGTGAAGTACCAGCAGAAGGGGTGTGCCCCCTCCTGTAAGGAAGTTTCTAGTATATTGAAGCAGATTTCGGAGATAAGCGGCCCGGGGAATCCAGGCCTGCTGGGCCTAGTTAAGCTTGAAGTGCAGGGTTTGATGTGCTGTGATAAGGACCTCTGTAATGGGGGTGCACAGCTCCTGGGTCCTGGCGGGGGGCTCCTGCTCAGCCTAGGGCCCGTCTTCCTCTGGGCCCTGCTGTGACCAGCCCTGACCCCAGCACAGGGCCTCGTTCTGAACAGAGTCTCAGGTGGCAGGCACGTGAAGCAAGCTCGCTGTCCCACCCACGCACACATACATACATACATACCCACACGCCTGGGCACACACATGCACACGCATGCACCTGCACGCGCAGACCCCACAGACCCTCAGGCTCTCCTGCCCAACCCACCTGGCCAGCCCCAGCCTCAGGCCCCCAGTGCCCTGCTATGCCAACAAGCCTGTCCCGTTTTGCAAACACCATCAACCAACCACTGCCGCAAGATGCAGAGACTGCTACGCCCTGACCAGACGGACCTGTAGAAGAGCAAAGCCCACAGCCCAGCCCGGGGTCCTGCTCCCAGTGTGCCAGCCAGCCCCCGGAGAAAATAAACCCTTTCTGCATCCTCCTGTCCTCTGCTTGTCATTCGGTCCCCTAGGAAAGGGTTGGTGGCTCTCGTGGCCTGCCTGGGAGGGAGACTACACTCAGCCAGGTGAGTGCCCATGGCCCTAGGGACTAGGAGCAGTGGTCGGTTCTGGAGGGGCTAGCTCTGCACAGCTGGGTGTGGCCCCCCTCGCCCCCATGAAGCGTTTCCTCCAATGCACACGACCGGCCCCCCCAGTCCCTCCTGGGAGCCTCCATCTGCCCAGGGCCTCCGGTGGCTGATGTGCTGGGGGGGGGCTTCAGCAGAGGCAGGTGGTGGTGGTGCTGGAAGAGCGGGTCTCAGCTGGTTCCTTTCCTCTTTCACACATTTTCTCTTTCACACATTTCCTCTTTCACGCATTTCCTTTCACACATTTCCTCTTTCACACATTTTCTCTTTAACACATTTCCTCTTTCACGCATTTCCTTTCACACATTTCCTCTTTCACACATTTTCTCTTTCACACATTTCCTCTTTCACGCATTTCCTCTTTCACGCATTCTTCCCCTCTGAGCCCCTGCCCCAAAGGGTGGACCCCGAAGCTCAGAGCCTGCCCCCACAAGCCCATAGGACCCTGCTCCTCCCCATGGGATGGAGATCCCAGAGCCTCATCTCCTCCCTAGGTCCCCCCAGTCACCTCCTCCAGGAAGAGAACCCCCTCCTCTCCCTGCCCCATTCAGAAAACCTGGAGTGTGGCCTCGGGAACTCCATGGGATTGTGAGGGTTGGGACTGTAGCACCTTGGAGACCAGGGCAGGGCCTTCCCTTCATAAGCAGGGAAACTGAGGCACAGGGAGCCTCATGCCAGTCTGTGCCAAAGACAAGGAACCAGAAGTGCCGCCCTGGCCCACCTGTGTCCTTTGTGCCTCCACAGAGTGGACCAAGTGACATCTCCCTCTGGTCCTTTCACTACTGAGCAGAAAAGCCTGGCAGACCCAGCCTCACCCCCAAAAAGGATGTGGCCCCGCCCCAGGCTGGGTGCTGGAGGAAGTACAGGGCCTGGGGAGGGCACCAGCCCCACAGGGACAGGTCCTGGGGGCAGAGCAGGGCCTCTGATGTGTGGAAATCTGAAGCCTCTTCCCCAACACCCCTCCTTCCAGCATCTCCCAACTCGACCCCCTACAGTGCTAGCCTCAACCCACACACCCTGTCTCTACACCCCAGGGGCGACCGAGGGACCGACCATGCCATGCAGTGGGGGAGGGCTCCAGAGTGAGTGTGCATGGGGGGAGCAGGGGGTGCTTTGTGGTCAGAGGGGTTTGAAGAACCACGTTCTGTGGGCCGTCTCCTGCCTCCTGACCTCAGCCTACTGTCCCCCGGCGACCTTGGGCAAGGACCCACATCTGGCCTCGGTGAATTCACTCTGTTATGACCAGGGCCTTCCGCGTGCACCGGCAAGGGCCAAGGGGACACAGCTGGGTTCTGTCCCCTTGCAGCGGCTGTAGGCCGTAACCAGAGCCGCCGGCCCGTGTGCTCACCGTGCCATGATCGCCTTGGGCTTTTTTAATCGATCCATCCTGATAAGTGGTACTAATTACTGCAAGTGTCTTAGCATGTGTCTTTTCTTTTTAATTGGTATATCATGATAACAGGCAAACTTTTTTTACTGTTAATATTCTTTTTTTTTTTTTTAAAGATTTTATTTATTTATTTGAGAGAGAGAATGAGAGAGAGAGAGAGAGAGCTTGAGATGGGGGAGGGTCAGAGGGAGAAGCAGACTCCCCGCTGAGCAGGGAGCCCGATGCGGGACTCGATCCCGGGACTCCAGGATCACGACCTGAGCCGAAGGCAGTCGCTTAACCAACTGAGCCACCCAGGCGCCCCTTTACTGTTAATATTCTTAAATGTATTAGTGGGTTACCTAAAAATATTTTCTGTCAATATATGGAGAGGTTTTCTTATGTTTCTTCTTAAAATTGCCAAGTTCTCCATTTTCAATTTGGGTTTTGATCCATTGAAAATGTGTTCTCCCTGGGGCGCCTGGGTGGCTCAGTTGGTTAAGCGACTGCCTTCGGCTCAGGTCATGATCCTGGAGTCCCGGGATCGAGTCCCGCATCGGGCTCCCTGCTCGGCAGGGAGTCTGCTTCTCCCTCTGACCCTCCTCCCTCTCGGGCTCTCTGTCTCTCATTCTCTCTCTCCCAAATAAATAAATAAAATCTTTAAAAAAAAGAAAAAAAAAAGAAAAAAAAAAAAGAAAATGTGTTCTCCCTGACACCCCAGCCCTGACCCAACAGGGTCCGGGGCAGAGTTTATCCTTCTCTGATCTGCTGCCCAGACCCCCGCCCCCCCTTCCCACCACACCCCCTGCGGTCCCGGGAGGTAGGTGGGGAAGTGGCCTGTGACCACCCCCCCACTCTTATCTCCCATGGAGCCTACTCCATGCTGCTTTTATGTATGTATGTATGTATTTATTTACTTAAAGATTTTATCTATTCACTTGACAGACACAGGGAGATAGGGAACACAAGCAGAGGGAGTGGGAGAGGGAGGAGCAGGCTCCTCGCTGAGCAGGGAGACCGACGCGGGGCTCCATCCCAGGACCCTGGGATCATGACCTGAGCCGAAGGCAGACGCTTAACCATCTGAGCCACCCAGGCGCCCCTCCATGCTGCTTTTAAAACGTTTCAGCTTTTCGTTCTGAAATAGGTTCACACTTAAAAAGAAGTTTCAAAAATAGTATAGAGTTCCTATATTCCCTTCAGTCCACTTTACCCGATATTAACTTCTTACGTAACCAGGTTCAAAAACAGGAGATCAGCATTGATGCAGACTCTCAAAGATCTGCACGGCAGACCCTGGGCCAAGCCCCGCACGGCACGGGGCTTTCCTGGGGTCCAGAGCCTAGTCCTGGGAGTGGCAGGACATCAGCGGTCCCCACCCTGGCCCGGCTCCTCCACTTTTCCTGGCCACTCCACGGCCAGTGCCCATGGCAGGCTTCTAGGGTTTTCACTCCACCTCTTTCTAAGAACTTAATTAACCATAACTATTCCTGCTCTTGACAGTTGACACTTAACGAGGGTTTACCCACCTGTTTGTGACCTGGAAATGCCGGCCGGGGGTGGGGGGCTCCAGGCGCCACAAGAAGTGAGGTCCCAGGTCAGACCCCATTGCCCCCACCCCACCCCTACAGCCTGCCTTGGGCAGTTACTATCTGAGGGAGGCCCGTGGGCACGGGCCCTGGTTAACAGTGGCCTCGGGAAAGCGGGCTGACGAGTCAAAGTGGGTCTTCCTGCCCGTGTGGATTCAGCGTCTGTCCTGCCCTGTCCTGCTGCACAGTTAGGAACGTGCCCCTCGGGCACTCCCCTTTCTGTGCCATGGCCGGGTGGCCTCGCTGGCCTCCCTGGGCCAGCTGCCGGGCACGACTGGCAGGGAGGCCAGCGGCGTGCCGAGGGTCGAGAGAGCAGGGTGCATGCGTGTGCGGTATGTGCACGGCGTGTCGAGCACAGTGTGTGAGTGGGTGTCATGTGCGTGCTGTGTGTGTTCAGGGAGGGGACGTGATGCCAGCAGCACTGCGTGGGTGGGCATTGGGGCAGAACAGGGCCCTAGTGGCCCTCCAGTGTCCCGTCCCCCGTAGGGCCTGGCCCAGCCTGAGCAGCAGAGGAAAGGCGAGGGGCACCGAGAGAGGGGGCTCTTTTGGCCTGGAAGGCAGCAGGCCAAGGGACTGGGCGCCCCACGTGGGGAGGGGCCGTCCCCAGCCCACCCAGAACGCGTGACTGAAGACCTCCCCAACCTCCTTGGCCATTCCCGCCTCGGCTGACGTGGGAGGAGGCTTCCTAGTGAGCAGATAAAATCTCTGCCAGGACGGGAGAGCCGGGGCAGAAACAATGCAGGAACTGAGCGCTCAAGGTCTTGGGGGGCCTGGCCAGAGCCTACCCTTCCTGAATGAGCTGCCCGCATTTCCAAAGCCGGAGGTGGGGGCCAGGAGAGGGTGGGGCTGGGGTGGAGGCGTGAAGCCCCCTCCCCGGCCCTCCCCACCTATGGGGGAGCAGAAGGCAATCTGAGGACAAAGAGCAAGCTGACACCCCACAACCTCCCCCCACTAGGTTGGGGTACCCGTGACATTCCTCTGGGAAGCTCCCAACTGTCTAAACACTAACTCCTTGCTAGAGGGGAGAACAACCTTAGCTTGACAATGGCAAGGCCTCTGGTATGAATCCTCTTTAACATATGAAAATCCTTCTGAAACCTCCCTTTTCCTTACCTCCTCCCACTCCCACCCGTCACAACTCTGGGGCACCAGCTCCTTCTGCCCACAGGCCCGCCCCTGGGCTTTAATAAAACCACCTTTTTGCACCAAAGACATCTCAAGAATTCTTTATTGGTCATCAGTCTCGCGTTCTGGGTGGGCTGGGGGCGGCCCCACCCCACCAAACCTCACCTGCTTTCCCAAACTACATCAAAACCGCTTCCCCGCCTACAGGCGCCCAGAGCCCTGGTGGAGCACTGACCCGTGTCCACCCAGAGAGGGAGGGACAGCTGGGGGGTCAGCTCAGGCTAAGAGCTGTCCTGGTCTGGGGCAGGTGGGAGGGGGAGCCTTCTGGAGGGGTGGAGCGAAGAGGACAGAGGCAGAGGCAGCCGGGGAGGAAGGGGACACCAGACAGGCTGGGGCTGGGGCCCCCGAGGGCGGGCAGCAGACCCCCGCGGAGCGCAACCGCGCACGGGTGGATGAGCAGCAGGTACCAGGAGAGGCAGGTAGAGTCAGACCAGAGGAGACAGGCGATCTGGAGGCTCCTGGCGGTCCCT